AGATGGAGGTAGAGATGATGATGTGGAAAGATGGAGCAGCTGGGGACTCTGGACTTAGGGAGGGAGAGGGGCTGTGTGCTGACGGCCGGGGGCAGGCTTGCAGGTTACACCCTTTGTTTGTTTGATGATGCATGGAGGGGATTGTAATCATTGCAATGAAACGAAATAAGATCGGATGAATGTAAAGCTGATGTTCTCCCATATAAAATGTCACTCAATTCACAATAAAAACTTTTAAAAACTAACTTAAAAAAAAAAATCAGTATATTAGTTTCTTGTTCTGAAAATAAACATCCCTTTAGTTCCTTTATTTTAGCAATGTACAAAAAGTTAAAAATTGCTTATATGCTCTAACAAACTGTAACTAGAAAATTAAGCAGAAATTAAGGGAGGTATGGAAGGGAATGGAAGTAGAGTATGCACAGGACAGGACAAGAAAGAATCCAAATGGACGTTCTCCACCTTATTCTTCAGCTCTCCCACCATGTGTAAAGCCAATCTACACTAGTCAAGTCCTGTGGATTCCTGTCAGAAAAAGAATGTATAAGTGGTAGGGGGAGAATCAGATCACAATGACTCACCAGCATGCCCTGATGGGAACCATCTCCCTTAATCTCAGCACAAGTCTAGACCCCATCCAAGGCAGACCACCTCCTAGGCAATTGTTAGATTTGTGTAGGTTCCAAGTTTGCCCTTATATGTTCCATTTTGCTCTTGCTTTCTCCCACTTTGCTTCCATCTTTTCATTTGACACCCTGTGTTACTGACATACAGTCACTCAGATCTTGTCAGATGCAGTTCTATAGAACAACCTTCTATAGACTTCTTCACCAGTTCTGTTTCATGGGCCCTAATTGGGGCATTTCTCTCTACTCAATCTACTGTCCCCTTTGGAGATCTACTTGCCCAGTTTTCCCTCAATTGTATAGAACAGAATCCCTAAAATAAATCTCTTCTTTCATATTATTCTCTAGGATATGTACCCCTGATAACCCCAAATTATGTTATCTTTAATACAATTTCATTGATTATGATAAAAGGGAACATAAAGAAGAGAAAACATATTAACAGTGTTCCTTCTCCGAAGCATGTGACCTGTCATGAATCCTCAAGCATCAGTTACCTCTACCAAAATTATAACTTCTCATTGAAGTTTCTGGAATGTGCATCCATT